TAAATATTTCCTCTCTCGCTCCCTCTCACTGATTTACCTATTGCCCTCTATCTCATTTTACCCTCTCTGGTTTTCCTTTTCTGTCTCTCTTTTCTCTCCTCCCGTCCTTATCCCTTCCCTCCAGTCTTTCTTAGCTCTCTCTCTCTCTCTCTCTCTCTCTCTCTCTCTCTCTCTCTCTCTCTCTCTCTCTCTCTCTCTCTCTCTCTCTCTCTCTCTCTCTCTCTCTCTCTCTCTCTCTCGCTCTCTCTCGCCATCTCTCTCTTGCTCTCTCTCGCTCTCTCTCGCTCTCTCTCGCCATCTCTCTCTCGCTCTCTCTCTCTCGCTCGCTCTCTCTCTCTTGCTCTCTCTCTCTCTCTCGCTCTCCCTCTCTCCCTCTATCTCTCTCTTTCTCTCTCTCTCTCTCTTTCTCTCTCTCTCTTTCTCTCTCTCCCTCTCTCTTTCTCTCTCTCCCTCTCTCTCTCTCTCCTCTCTTTCTCTCTCTCCCTGTCCCTCTCTCTCTCTTTCCTCACAATATTCTCGACTGTCACAGCGCTGTAGGGCTTGTTTCCAGACAGGTCCAGGCGCTCTCCACTGCGCAGGCCCCAGCCCACACGGCCCAACCGCTCAAACACCCTCCGGCGGATGACCTCTGACCTCGGCGACCTGACCCCAGCCGACCGATCGCGTCCCCCTCCACGCCTCCGTCCCGCTTCCCCCACTACAGCTGCGTATAGTAATTGTAGCGTGTGCAAAGGTCACGTGACATTATTTACTTCTGCGGCTTGTTCGGCTGACAAGAGATGGCACTAGTGGTCTGTGGATCAGAGGCGGGGCTAGGTTCTACGACTTCTTGGGGCACACTTTAGGGCAGAAAAGAGGTTTTTTGGCTCTCCATCCCAAAATGCTTCGAATATACAAAAACAAGTTAGATATCCGAAAATCGGAGGACCAAACGGATCGTTTGACGTATCTTGCGCGTCTGAGAATTGATCGGTCTTCAAACTACTGAACAAAAACGAGGTGATTAGTAGCAAGTGCTGGTGACTGTACGTCGAAGGCGAATGCGCCGTCGGTCCCTCGCGAAGGCGCGCGAGTGCCGCCATGGAGTCGGCGCAGAAGATGACCTGGTCCTCCTCGTTTTTTGTTTGTTGTTTTGTTGGGTTAGGCCCTTTCGGTCGACAAGACCATTGCAGAGCCGGAAGGATGATAGGAATTAGGGGGAGACATTGGTCTGGGCAGGCACCCTAGTGAGTCGCCGGGGCTGAGCCCGTCCCGAGGACAGGCCACCCAGCCCCAAGGCACTCACTGCACCCGGCTACGGGGTGCGCTCCCTCGGGAGCAGCGGTGCCGCTCCAAGGGAGCAGCCCGCATGAGATAAAGGTGCCTGTCCAGCCCGGAGGGGGGTTGCGGCGTGGAGGAGGAGGATTTCAGTATCCTGAGGATAGAAGCACGGAACGGTGTCCTCCTCGTGTGCGGGGTCGTCTTTTATGTAGTCGGCAGCTGCTTGGAGCGCGATCATCTCCGCTAGATGTTACTGGAACAGAGGCGGCCGGCGGCGACGCGAAGCTCCGTCACCTCGCCGTCCGGCCTCTCGATTAACACGCCTGCTCCCGCTCCTCCGTCAGTAATGCCTTCGGAAGATTTTACTGCCATTATGTTTGTCTTGCCGAGACACGCTGAATGGTCAATAAGTTGACCTTAGGTCAAGCTCATGCTCTGCCAGAAAAAGGTCATGTTGCCCAAAAGTCGAGGTGTATTGTTGAGCTGAATGCATTCAGGATCTTCTATCACTCTAGCATGTCTCCATCAAAAGTAATTTTCGAAACTACTTCTGATGACCTCTACTGGCTCCTGACAGACCGATAGGAGACATGCTGGTCACTGAGGATCCGCGCTGTTTCCGCGCCATTCTCGTAAGAGCTGGATTTCGTTGACCTCTGAGGACCCCAGGCATGACGCAGGCTTCGGAGGCCCATGTGGCCCCCGTGGGTCCTATATCCGCCCTGAGATCCTCGAGGGCAAACTTCGCCATGGTGGGGGAGGGGGAGGGTCGAAAAAGTCGAAATAGGCGAAAGTTAACTTTTGATGGACTCTGGTGATATGAACTTTCAATTTTTTCCAGCTTCATGAGGATAAATATATTTTCGTAACACAATCATCGCAGTCACGTTACAAACTCACAGTGCCCTCAAGAATGGAGGACGAACTAAACGTTCGCTCGGCAACGGGCGGAAGTGGCAGAGCCTACAGCCGCTGGTCGATGGCCGAGTAAAACAGCAAGTATCCGGCCGAGCTTCGCACGCTCCCCCCGCCCAGTTCGTGCACCTGACGGTCGTCGTACTTGTGCCATCTGTCCGTGGTGGGTGCGTGGCAGAAGGCTGTGTAGTGGCCACTGTCCATGGAACCGTAATGGTTCACCACCGACCGTACAGGTGATACCTGTGGTGCTGTTGGTGCGCATCCTTGGTAGCCAAGTGCGGTGACATGTCCAGGTTTTTTAGCGGACACAGGACACTGGACTGATTCTTCTTCCACGCGCCGTCGTTGAAGAAGCGCTGTATGTGGATGATCAGAACTGGTGGAAGACGCCAGATGTCAAGCCGCTTGGTGACCCCGCCCGTCACTGCTTTGACACTCCGGGCAAGTCCAGCCGCTGATTGTGTCGCCCTCCACAAAAAGCTGGATGCACTCGTGGAGCGAGCACCGACTGGCCCTGGCAGGCATCGGCACGGAGAGGTGTGAAAATGCCTCTAACTTCGCCGAGTGGTTCCCGCAGCTGACGCAGCGCAGCGTGGACTTGTACTGGCCCCCGAACAGGTTCGAGATCGGAGACTGGTTGCTGCTCTGGGAGTCGTCCTGGAGGAGCTTGATGGCACGGGAGTCTGGGACACCGCCATTACCCTGCCCTCTGAGCATTTGTTTTCGGGATGCGTCGATCAGCTCCTCGTGCAAAGAGTTCAACCTTCAATTGACCTGAATTCTGAAACATGACTGAAGTAATTTCTTCGTGATTTTCGACGTTGGCTTTAGAATGCCGCCTACCGTATGTCGGTACGTGGCCCAGGAGCCAGGCTTGAATGAGATGTTCAAGCAGCCCCAAGCATGGCGTGGAGATGGAAAGCCAGGAACCCCAGCAGGATGCGGGCCTACGGATCTTTGATGGCCAACGCACTATGCAGACTCTTGAGGGCTTTAGGTGGGCTCGTGAGGACCCTAAACCGGCCCATAGCTAGCTAGCCCGCACCCAGCTGAGAGCTGAGGGTCCATACCGGCCTCTAAGGGAAGGGCACACTCCGGCATAAGAGGACTCTAACATGCATAATGGCTGAAGTCTGACTATCGAGGCCCTCGAGGTGGCTTCTGATAGCTCGACGCCAGTCTCAGAAGGTCCAGCGCTGGCTTCAGATGGTCCAGCACCAGCCTCAGACGTCAAGGGACAGGGGGCCCCACGCTGACCTCAAAGTGGCTAACGCTGGCCTGGCACCAGAGGGTCCAATGCTGCTGGCCTCAGAGGGCTCCACGCTGGCCACAGCTAGGGCCCACACCGGCCTCAGAGGGCCCACATTGTCCTCAGAGGGCCTCAAGCCCCACGTCCGCCGGGACCACCGACGCTCCGCCCGGGCGGTCCCGGCGGCGGCCGGCCGACTGCCGCTCCCTTCATAGGCGTCACCGCCGGGAGCGTCCGGCAGGGGCGACGCCAGGAGCGGTTCAGGGGAGGTCGCTATGGTTGAACGGTGAAATAGGGAGTGGTTAACAAATACTTAACGCGATGTTCTTGCAGTGTTGTAGCATGTTCCAGAGCATGCTGAAAAGACAGGACGCGAAAGTTCCTAGAACCAGCGTTGTGGCCAAACGAGCCTGAGTGGGCAGGTTCGTGTGAGTGAGCGGCAGGTATGGTAAGCTGCAGTGAAGTCTACACCCGTTAGATGGGGTAAAATGAGGGGCTCAAATTTCGGGAGAAATATGGTGCTTTGTTGACAGGGGAATGTAAGAATTTCTAAGTTAATAAATCTACTGAAGGGTTTGGGTCCCATTTGATAATATTACAATGCACTTTTTGCTAAGACAATAGAAATTCAGCTGTACTAGCCACTATCGACCTGAAACTAACTATGGAAACATCACTAGTACATTATATAGTCTGAAAATTCGCCGGCAGAACCATCTCTGGTTTCCCTTCAAAACGTACAAATCTTTCGCCTTTTACTAAAGATTTCCGTGGAGGGGAACACTCAAATGAGTATTCGCCGAATTTCTTACGGCCACCACAATGGTGGCCTACTAATACTATATCAGATGGGTACGAATGGTCAATGAGTGATTCTAGTTACTTGTATATTTCCAAAATATCTTGCGTCGTGAGTTTAACGTTGCCAGGATTAAGATGTTACGCATTTTTCCAAACCCCACATCTGTTCTCCTGCGAATGTCCGATAAGCTGGATAGAAACTTTCAAAAACGGTAGGTTTGAACTCGGTTTTTCTGAAGGCAGGTCAGGTCAATCAGTGTCTTGGCAGGTCAGGAAATGCCAGAAGAAGCTTACGGACACACATTTGATCAGGATCGGATGATTGCACGCTTTTTAAAATGGATCTTTCGTGCTTCCCGGAAATTACTGAAGAACTGATGTGGGGTTTGGAAAAAACGCGTCGATATGCCAAAGGTTTTTGTTGTTACAGATACCTACATACAAACACACATGTTGGGCGGGCTTGCCCCAGCGGGGCACTCCCGTGACCCGTCCCACCCAAGATTCCTTTACTACCCGTCGCACCGGGACAATGGAACTGCGGCGCAAAGTGGTCGGTAGTCCGCACAGGTAGTGTCCAAACTATCACAACTTTTTGGGCAAATTTGATGATCGTGATTATACTAAAACAATGTCTATTAACATATAGATACCCTGTGGGTTAGTAGCAACGATAAATGAAAACACAGGTTGTGTCTATAGCGGCACTGCGTGTATATAGGCTGTTAGATCAGATTGTATTGTTAGTCAAATTCAAGTTGTAAACAAGGTATTTGTAACTGCAATGCGATGTAATTTTATTCAAAAGAAAACAAACCAAGCTACATATACGTCAAGTTCAAGAGTAGAAAAAATTTCATCCTGAAACAAACAGGAGGTTGATGGTAAGGAAACGGCGATATAAACATGTATACTGAAAATATACAAATATCTAAACAAACAAAAAACACTTAATTTGATACTCACTTCATTGCAGCCAAGGTTCTAAATTCAAATATTCAAATCGATATCGAAACGGAAAACACCGTGAACTAAATAAACCTTAACCAAACTCGCGGGAACATATTCAGAGATCTTCGGCCAGAGATATTCGACTTCCAAATTCGGCCAGCGCGTCGAGATTTATCGCTGATCGTGACTTCGCGATACACTCCCCCCGCCGCTCATATAGTGGCGGTTTTCGGCTTCTAGTATGAGAACTAGCCGATGCACCGATCTTGTGATAGTTGTCACTGATGTTAGTTGTCGGACTTTCGTCCCCGTCTTGAGTTGAGATGTTAGTTTCACAACGTTTCGGCCAGTTACTTCTCCGGCCGTCGTCAGGTGTTCTTTGGCCCTTAGAAGGACCTGGATGTTGGTGGCGTTGCGCCGTACGCGTCATACCGTTCGAAAGCTCCTGTAGTCAGCGGGAATCGAACTCGGGTTTCCCCGGTGATAGTCCACGGTTCTAACCACTCCACTATCGAGGCAGACATCGTTATGGAGCTGGAAACTTGGTGTCATTTATCCCCCAGATGTAACCACCACCGCCTTCCAACTGGGCGATGACTACTACCAACAAACTGAAGGAATGGCCATGGGATCACCCCTGTCACCGGTGATCGCCAACATCTACATGGAACACTTCGAGGAACTGGCCTTACAAACAGCACCACTGAAACCATCCCTGTGGCTGCGATATGTCGACGACACATTCGTCCTGTGGGACCTTTGCGAGGACATAACACCGTTCCTATACCACCTCAACAGCCTCCGACCCTCCATCCAATTCACAATGGAAACAGAAGTCGACAACAAACTACCATTCCTTGACGTCCAAGTGGAGAAATCTGAGGAAGCATTCAGAACATCGGTCTACCGCAAACCAACAGCGACCGACCGCTACCTCAACTTCAAGTCACACCACCCAGACACAGTCAAGAAAGGTATCGTCAGATGCCTGCAGACCCGAGCCACCAACATCTGTGGAGACGAAGCAGCCAGAAAGATGGAAATGTCACGCCTTACCAGCACCTTCAGGAGAAACGGATACCCAACGAGCTTCATGAAACACAAACCCAAGGAAGCATCCCAACAACAACCAAGGGATAAGCCCATCGCGACAGTATCCCTCCCATACAACAGAGGACTGTCAGAGAAGCTAAGGCGAATCTGCGGAGCATACAACATCAGGACGGTGTTCAGAAGTACCACCACCCTCCGCAGGTCACTCACAAAGGTCAGACCGCCAACCACCAAGGAGAAAACAAAGAACTGCATATACGACATCCCGTGCAGCTGCGGCAGGTCATACAAGGGCGAGACTGGCCGCCCACTGGCGGTCCGGCTCGAAGAACACAGGAAGGCTACCATCCGAGGCGAAACACTGAAATCCGGTGTGGCGGAGCATGCATGGTCTGAAGGAGATCACAGACCTGCTTGGGATGATACCACCATCATCGACAAGGAGCCACACTGGAAAATCAGAAAGATCAAGGAAGCCGCACACATGGCGCTGGCCAGCAACCCCATCAGCAAGCCAAGCGTTGACATCAGCCCAATATGGCTCCCACTACTAAGGAAATCACAAAAACATCTGGGGGATAAATGACACCAAGTTTCCAGCTCCATAACGATGTCTGCCTCGATAGTGGAGTGGTTAGAACCGTGGACTATCACCGGGGAAACCCGAGTTCGATTCCCGCTGACTACAGGAGCTTTCGAACGGTATGACGCGTACGGCGCAACGCCACCAACATCCAGGTCCTTCTAAGGGCCAAAGAACACCTGACGACGGCCGGAGAAGTAACTGGCCGAAACGTTGTGAAACTAACATCTCAACTCAAGACGGGGACGAAAGTCCGACAACTAACATCAGTGATACTAACACCTCGTCTCAAGCATTCAGAAGTTGTGATAGTTGTGTCTGCTTGGCCGGTATATTTGCCAGATCTTATGCCCCTTGCACCTTGCGCTTCGCTTTTGTATCGCAGAGTGAATGGCTTCTCGTAGTCGGCATCCAAGAACTGCCCCACAAAGCTCCAATCGAGGAACAGTCAGCTGTCTTGTTGGAGCTATCCGATTTTTTGCTGCGATGAGTCGAGCCTCAAAGTGACCCGTTTCGAGCTCCCATCGGGCGTAGGCGCATGCCCCGTACGCATGCATACTGGCATCCGAAAATATGATTAATATTGGGTCTCCTTTCACTTCCTTTGGTTTCAAACAACGAGAGAATGTCACATCTTGCAACTTGAGTAGTTCCAGAGAAAAGAACTTCCAATCCATCCTGTCTTGATCTGATATAGGATCATCCCATCCAATCGCTGAAGAGCCGTCTTGATTTTCAGTTCTCTGTCGTGTGACCAAATTTCGCAAGAGAATTTTTCCTTTCAACGTAACTGGTATGATCAACCCGAATGGATCGTATAGGCGTGCCGCCTGGCTCAATGTCAATACCATTCGCCGGGTAAGCCGTAAAGGGAAAATAGCATCGATGTTCGATTCTGTTAATTCGGGAGTGGCTGACATTTTGTTCCACTTCGACACAGAAAAGTTTATTCTGACTTGGAACAAAAAGTGATCGCCCTTTGGTACCCAACACATGCCGAGTATCTTCTCTTTGTCAATGCTTAAGATTTGGATGCTGGGACAGATGCCCCCAGTATCATCTCCGGACATTATCCAATTCCAGTGTTTGATCTCAAAACCTCCCTTGTGTAGGATATTTTGCACGTTTTCAGCTAAGTGCAGTGCCATCTCCACGCTTGGAGCTGAGTGCAGTGCCATCTCCACGCTTGGAACTGATTGAATCAAGTCATCAACGTGACTGTTCTTGATTATCACGTCAGCAGCTTCTTCTGATTCATCTCTAAGCATGTCTTGCATTTGATCATTGTATGCTTCTGCGTGTGGAGCGCCAATCTTGATCAGCCTTCTTTCAGTGGCTCTTAAATTTGCTTCAGCGGCCTTAACATTGTTGGGAAGTTTCATCGGATCCCTGATCCAGGGATAATGAACGGTAAATTTGCGTTGCTCCGGGTCATATGTTAAGCCACTCTTAATGAGCGTCAGTTCTCGTTCCTCTTGCAAGGTGTAACTGCTACTACCCATTGCACATTTGCCGCATTTGCATCCGCCGCAGCGTGGTGTACAATGTGTGCCAAGATTTTCAATGACAAAATACTCGTCTAATTTCTCTGTTAAGCTTGTCATTGATTCGGCCCTCATATTGTTAATATCGGACACGACTATCCCGCAACCAATTTCTACTGATTGTGTCTTGGGCGTTGAAGTACTATCCATTGGATCGTAGCAACCGCGAATACAGTAACCAAACTGATTTTTAAGAAGCTGTAGACTGCCCACCGTTTCGACTACGTCTGGCATCAGCACACAGCAGTCGATGCCGATTAGCATGTCAACTCTTCCGTGCGGCCTTTCGATTTCTTGCACCTTTGGTTCGTTAAAAATTGATGACAAGGAAGACAGATCACATTGCTCGATGTCAGACGTAATGTCTTCGATACCATATGCATGCATGGACCTGCCAGCATTTATCGTCCGCGTCTATAAGAGGAACAATATATCGTTTCGTGTTGAAGGCTTGTACCTGGTTTCCGACTTTTGTAATTGAAAGTTCAACTTCTTCACTGCATAAATTTAACCGGGATGCAGCCTTATGTGTAATCAAAGATATATTGGCGCCTGAATCCCATATCACTGTCAGCCGTTTGTCCTTGCAAATAACACCGCTCACCGCGAGCATTGATTTTCGCTTGTTATTTCTAGTTGAATGTATGGACGCGTTGTTTTCGTTTGGAGGCCGTTCAAAATGCAGACACGAGTGGTGACGTTTTCCACATTTTTCATTCAAATGATTCCGTTTTTCACATTGATTTTCGTATGGGCATGATGAGGCTATATGTCCCTGTTGAAGACAATTGAAGCATGCTCCATTTTGTCGTAGAGTACACAATTTGTCTTCGCGAGTGGAATTGAGGAAAGCGTTACATTTGAAAATTGAGTGAAAATCCGTTTTGTGGATCCAGCAGCGACTATTCTCGATATCTATGTTATTCTTCTTTTTGCTACCTGTAAATTTCCTCGTGCTTGGGTTTTTTAACAGAGTTTCCATTCGGTCAGTCATGTTTTGAATTTGGTTGCATATTTTCACAACATCTGTTTGCGATGCATCGGTTGTCGTATCGGGATTCGTATCGGCAGATATCGAGTCGCTCGGATTGACTTGAAGGCTATTTATTGCTGAATTTACATATTTTGAATTTGTACCGGTATAAGTTCGGACGTCGTCGTCCATATATTCGATGACCCTTTTTTCTTGTATTAAATAAGATAGTAAAGTACGAAAGGTAGAATCACAATTTGTACTGCTATTTTTCAGTTCTTCCATTTTTGTTACCCATTCCCGCTTTTGAGTTCTTGGCAGTAATTTTTCGACCATGGTGACCATTGTGGTCGTGTCCATTTCTTGAGACATGCCCAATCTTTGAAGTTCCATCCAACTGCGCTCCACCACTTCTACCATGGAAACAAACCTTTTGTTTTCGCCTTCTGGAATGGGCTTCAGTCTTTTGATATCAAGTATTATCGAATCGACTAATTTTCTCGTCTCTCCATATTTTAGATCTAACCTCCGAAACATCTCTTCGTAATCATCTTCTACGCCTTTCACCGTTTCCAGCGCAGCTCCTGACAAGCATTGTCGAAGTGCATAAGAATCCTTACCGAACTGTTTGGTCATTAGTCGAAGATAATCCTGCTTGAAACTTGTATATTGTCTGATATTTCCCGAGAAACGCGGTGCATCTAAAGGTTTAACGTGAATTTCTGAAATTTTAACGTTTTCAGCCTTTGTCTTGATGGCAAACTTTGTTCGAATTTCATCCATGCTTGCCTCAACACCCATCATATATTCATCACATTCATCTAATAATTTGTCTATTAAATGGTGTGGTCCCGTTTCGTTTATCGCAGCGTTGACCAGATCATTGCATTTTTCAACTTGCCGATATGCATCTTTGATATCTTCGAATTTATCCTTAATAGCAATAAATGGGCAATCGTTTTCGATCATGTCATGAAAACCAATAGTTTTTCTCGTAAATTTTCGTTTTGCGTTGGTTCGATCTTGTTTAGTCGTTCGTATTTCTTTCGTCATAGCCAACGGGAATCTCGAAGCCTGATCTTCTTGCTTGCTCATGATGAATAATTGCTAATTTACTTTTTCACATCAATGAAAACAAGGAAAAGGAAAGAAAAGCTTTTCAAGTTTGTTCAAGTTTGTTACGTTATGGCTTGAAGATGAAATGTATTGTTAGCCAAATTCAAGTTGTAAACAAGGTATTTGTAACTGCAATGCGATGTAATTTTATTCAAAAGAAAACAAACCAAGCTACATATACGTCAAGTTCAAGAGTAGAAAAAATTTCATCCTGAAACAAACAGGAGGTTGATGGTAAGGAAACGGCGATATAAACATGTATACTGAAAATATACAAATATCTAAACAAACAAAAAACACTTAATTGGATACTCACTTCATTGCAGCCAAGCTTCTAAATTCAAATATTCAAATCGATATCGAAACGGAAAACACCGTGAACTAAATAAACCTTAACCAAACTCGCGGGAACATATTCAGAGATCTTCGGCCAGAGATATTCGACTTCCAAATTCGGCCAGCGCGTCGAGATTTATCGCTGATCGTGACTTCGCGATACACAGATGTATATATAGTTCATCTCGTGATCATCAGTTTCCACTGCATGTCTATGTAGTAGACCTGAAGATCTTAGAAACCAACGAGAAAAAGAAGACGATTCGCTCTAGTCCGCCTGCCTTCGGAATGCAGGAAGTTCACAGATTATGAACTACTCCGGAAATAGAAGAAAGAGAATCGCCTACGTAACAACACATCCATAGGTCCCCGGACCGCATCGGATCTCCATCTGAATACATAAATACCTACATAAATCACGAACCCATCTGAATATGCCGGATGTCTCTGACCTGTCAGCTTCGTGAACGAACGATTCCCTCTTCAAGTAACCGCTTGTCTACTCAATTCTTAACCCACTTCCTCACCGCACTTTTGAATGCTTAAGAAGGGTTGGAGCGCGAACGCAACCTACCCCGCTAACAAAAATTGTACTCCCGAGTTATCCACATTTGGGATAATCGCAGGGGTCAACCCAACCGAAGTGCAATGGAAGGGCCTCGCCCTGGGGGAACCGCCTTCATGATCACGGTATCCCCTGAGCCAGGTAAGTATGACTTTCGCCGCAGAGTTTTCCGTATATATCCCATTGTCACTGATGAGTGATGAGTACCTTTTTCCAAGTAGACAAGCATTGGGAATCCTGAAGCTCATACAGGATACTATCAGCGCAAGCTGCATTGGTATATTTTTCAAATACCCAGCCATCTAGTGGCTGGGTGCGTTCTTCATTTGTCCTAAGTAACTTACCAAATTTTCGTAGAAGAGAGCATAGAATTTGGTACCTACTCTACAACACGCCCTCTATGAGGCGTAACGGAAGCTAAGCTTCAGTGTAAGTCCGAGGCCAATAGCCTGAGAAATCCAGGATCCAAGATCATAAGTCATAACACCACATATAGGTCCAGTTAGCTCTCTAACTTTACCTTAATTATTGCAATTATCGACATATTTCAAGCTACTTAACCCGCGAGTTGCTGGGGGGGGGCGTTAAACGCCCCCACTTTTTTCGCCGGGCCATAGCATAAAAACGGCGCGCCGCAGGCGCGCCAAATTTTGGGTACCTGTAGGGAATTGATTGAAGTGTATTGTGACAAAGTTTTAAAAAAATCGGTCGGAAAATTTTTGAGATATCGAGGTTTTAGTGACGTCATGATTTCTGAGTTTTCGACCAAAAACGGCATATGTTCAAAAAAATCATATAAAATCACAGAATAGACATACAGACATGCCGTAAACGCCATTAGACTGCCAATACCATGGTCAATCAAATGGCTATCTTCGATTATTGATTATCGTTCCGCATTTTCCATAATCTTGAACTGAATCTTGGCAATTTTTCGTGACTACATCACGACCATGATACATGAAGTTCTTAAATTGAACTTTTTGAGCCAAACACGTACACATATGATAAAATGAATGTCACCATCGTGTTCTACGCCCCAAATTACCTACAAACCTTGTGTCACAGGCTGCGAATATCAGTTTTGATTTTCGGGGATATGTGCCTACCCGGTTGACCTGACCTTGACCCTGACCTATGCTTGACTGACCCCTACATGGAGCTGACACTCTTGTAGGCCTTATAAGATGGATTGTGCACCGTTTTGACAGAGTTTATGGCGAGAGGCGCCCATTGCGAAGTCCTGAAGTCCATGCTACTGAAAGCCCGATTTCAGGTGTTTGACCTGACCTTGACCCGACCTGTGACCTCAAAATTCAACTTTAAAGTACTCATCTGAAGCGTCTCGTCGCGCTCTTTCGTTTGCCGCCTCGTGCGTTTCGCTGCGCCTATTGGTTCTCGAGTTATCGGCTGGGGGCGTTTAACGCCCCCCCCCCCCCCCAGCAAACGGTGGGTGGCGAAATACCCCAGCAACTGCCGGGTTAAGTCAATAGTCACCACAAGCATGACGGGTTACGGACAAAAGTACGTATCGCTAAAGTACGTAGGACAAAAGTACGTAAGCAAAAGCACGTAGGATTAAAGTACGTATCGCAGAAGTACGTACAGTATAAAGTACGTATGGACAAAAGTACGTCAGGGACAAAAGTACGTATCGCAGAAGTACGTACAATATAAAGTACGTATGGACAAAAGTACGTCAAGGACAAAAGTACGTATCGCAGAAGTACGTACAGTATAAAGTACGTATGGAGAAAAGTACGTCAGGGACAAAAGTACGTATCGCAGAAGTACGTACTATATAAAGTACGTATGGACAAAAGTACGTATCGCAGAAGTACGTAGGGTATAAAGTACGTATGGACAAAAGTACGTCACGGACAACAGTACGTATAGCTAATGTACGTTGGGTAAAAAGTACGTTTGGACAAAAGTACGTCACGGACAAAAGTACGTATCGCAGAAGGACGTAGGGTATAAAGTACGTATGGACAAAAAAGTACGTCACTTACAAAAGCCTACGTATAGCAAATGTACGTAGGTAGAGTATAAAGTAGGGTAGACTTGGGCAAGACGCCCCAGATAATTTATTTTGCTACATAGGTACCTACTTTTGTCTCACACCACCTGGAAGGCCAAATTTGTGCTCAATGTGTTCTTTGGACATTTTACTTTAAATTCCACCCCTCAAATTCATTCACTTATGATCGGACTCCCAGCTAGGAAGTGCTTTGTGAAGCAACTGCAAATGGGGCATTTTGCCCCAACCCCAGGGCAAAACGCCCCACGGCCTGAGGCAAGAAGCCCCATACACTAGATTAACCCTCGCGGGCCCGGGGGCGTTTTTCGCCCCCCCCCCCCGGCGAATATTTGCGATAGCTCCCGAACGTTTATAGGGATAGGAAAGCGAAACTTTCAGTACCGTTTTTCCCATCAATTTGACATCTTCTGAAGTAAAAAATTTGGACCTAGCCCCATTGATAACGTCACAAAGTCGATTTTTCTAGACCCCTGCACGGCAAACTTCGGTGTCACAGACGCGAACTTCAAATAGCTGCTAAAAATAGAGTTTTAGAGATAAAGACAAATTACGAGCACGGTTGTGTAGCGTTTGACCTAGAGAATAATACAAAAATAGTTTTAGTGACCTGAGGTCAGAGGTCAGGTCAACTACCCCGAGCTGTGGTTTTAGTTTTTCGCAAATAATTTCAACGAAAATGGTCCTAGAGCTACGGCAGTGGTACCATTGCATTTGCCTTGTCAAGCCGCGTCGAATGATATCTATTTTGTTTGGAAAAGGACAAGTTTTATGTTGACCTCATGTGACCTCGAATGACCTTTGGTTGACCTTGACACATCAAAAGTCGTTTATGATGGATTCCTACCCGCTGATCACGAATCTGGCATCTATTTTCCTCTAAGCCTTTATTTAGAGCCTTCGGATGGCAAAATTGTCTTATTACGGAGCGAGCGAAGCGAGCGGAGTCTTACGTAGAATAACGGAAATTTCTGAGTATGAGCGGCCGGCCGGCCGGCCGGCCGTGCGGACGCTTTTGCGAGGCTTATATCTCAGCAACCACTTGACCGATTTACATGCGGTAATTTTTGTAGGGTAGCTTCATTCCTTCTACCAAGTATTGGACTATTCCCGATGCATGTGGGTGACCCCTTATGCACGTGCCACGTGCAAAACGAAGAGGTGTCAGTTTTGTAATTGTTGCAATATCTCGGTAACTACTTGGCCGATTGCGCTGAAAGTTGGCATGTAGGTAGGCACCCACTAGGCACTGCATATCCATGTGCCAGAGTTGGGGTGCTGCTGCACGTGCGCACGTGCACGGGTCGTTTCCAGATCTCGAGAACGGCTGGACCGATGGCGCTCAAATTTGGTACACAGTTAGGGACCAGTTAGTAGGGTGCCGTGCACAAGTCAGTTGGGACCCATTTTGCACGTGCGCACGTGCAGGGTGCCGCTCCCAGATCTCGAGAACGGCTGGGCCGATTGTGCTCAAATTTGGCACATCGCTAGAAACCGGTCAGTAGGGTGCCGTGCACAAGTCAGTTGGAGGTACCCCCTCGAAATTTCGCACGTGCAAGACTCACCCCCTCGCTCGCTCCGTTAGTCGCCCCAAAAGGCGCTATACTGGTTTATTATTACTAACTTGAATCAGTGAAATAGCCTCTAGCAAGGACTCTCATCTGTGACCTTGACCTTTGAGCAGCCCTGTATCGTAAGATGAACCACAAATAGGGACCTGATAAGCCTCAAAACATTTCAAAACATCTTGGAAGTGGACACGCAAGATGTACGAAAAAGTGCAAAGTTTGAGGTCAATTTTGAGCATGACCTGGACCTTGACCTTTGATATTGAGCACATTTTCAGAATTCTCAGATGATTCTCTTCTTTCGTTTGACACCCAATTCTGCCGGTTTTATGCATCCTGCCGTCCTCTAGAACGCTCACTTTGAGATCACTACACATGTGCCGGTTTTTGCCTTTGACCTTGACCTCTGACCTTTAAAATTGACCTGAGGTGGAACATTTTGGGTGCTTTAGAATCGTCTCGTAAGGAACTTTCGTTTGGTATCTCTTTTGTTTGCGTAGCTCCCTTATTTACGGAGTTAGACAGGGGGGCGAAAAACGCCCCTCCCCGGGCTGCGGTGGGTGGAATTACCCCCCGGGCCCGGCCGGCTTAACAGAAGAGAGAATCTTTCCCCAGAACCCTGCCAGTTCCGAGAAACATCGGTGAGGCGTTTTACCTCAGCGGGGCGACTTGCCCCGGTCTACCCTACGTGTGGACAAAAGTACGTCACGGACAAAAGTACGTATAGCAAATGTACGCAGGGTATTAAGTACGTACCCTACCCTTGGGTTAAG